CAGCCGTCTCTTAGCTTCTAGCACGTTCTCCACCGTGATGCTCAGCCCTCCCACCTCACGTCTGTCCCAAGCCCGGTTGTCCCTGCAATCCCTGCTCCCAGCTCCCTCTCTGCAGTCAACCTCCCGACCTCAGCTGCCAATGTGGGCAGGATTCCCTGCCCTCCGCCCCCTCCCTTCCTCTCTGTATCCACGTGCATCCATCTCTCCACCTCACCTCCAGGCCCACTTCCCAGCATCGCTCTCCCCTTGGCCCTGTCTTCTTCCATTCATCCCTGGGACCTTGCTGCACCAGCTAGCACTTCTCTTCCTTTGCTAATCTCTCCTTCCCCCAGGATTCCTCCCCCTCTGCCTACAAATATACCCGGGTCCCTCCCATCCTCCAGTATCATCTCCACCCCCTCACCCACGCTCGTCTGCCCCCTCCCCCAGCTACCCTCCAGTTTAGGGGATCATAAATCGTGGTGTCAGTGGTTTGCAGGTGGGGAGCTGAAGCTGGAGGAAGACGTGGCTGGTAGCCGTCAGGAGGAGAGACCATCTTCCTGCCTTCCTTTATCCCCTAACTTCTCAGAATTCTGGTCCCTTCTCTCGTGCACCTCTCATTTGCTCCCCATTCCTGCAGAGTCCCGCCAGCCCCACTGAACCTGCCTCAGAAGGATCGCCGGCGACACCTGGCCCAGGTGCCCCTTCACAGCCCTGCTTCATCTCTGTGTGGAACATCTGCACACTCCTTCCCCAGCCTCCTTCCTCCTTGGCTTTCATGGCCACGTTCTCCTGATTCTCAGCTTTTCTGGCTGCTTCTGCTTTGTCTCTTCTATGGCTACTCTTCATCTTCCCACGGTGTAAGCAAGGGACAAGAGGGTCTTGTCCCTCTTCTGCCCTCCCTCAGTGCTTCCCCCTCGGTGGCCTCACGCATCCTGCGGCTTCAGCCATCCCCTCCTTACAGAGTCCTCCAAGCCCTGGCCCAGTCTTGCTCTCACTCCCCAGTTTAAGCATTCAGCCAGGTGTTTCCTCCTGGATAGCCTACCAGCACCCCACATTCAACATGTTCCAGATCCTTTTCCCTTCCAAACCGTCCCCTGTGAGCGATGATGCCACCCTCAGTCATCCACCCATGCTCCACCAGCGTGAGGGCCCCTGCCCTCTGCACCCCACACCCACCCTGCTGTCCAGCCTGACCCTCTCAGCGTCTCTTCCAACTCCCAGCACCACAACCTGAGCCAAACTAGGCTCAGGACTCAGTGGCTCACATCAGGAGAGAGTCTGCCCTCACCCCCAGATGTCTGTCTTATGGTTTGATATTCTTAACCCTTAAGTCTTACAAACCCTCCCCGCTTCCCTACTGTCTATGTACGATGTGCGTCCACCTTGTCCTGGCTTCCAAGGCCCATCGGACCCTAAGTCATCTAATTTATCCTTGCAGCCACCTCATACGCTCCAGCTGAATGGAGAATCCATTGTCCCCTGAAGAGGCCATGTTCCTTCTCACTCAGGATCATGCCCTAGGTCTTGCGTTTCCCCTTCCTATGGTGCCTCCGTTCACACCTGCTCTATCCATCTTCCATCGCCCTCTGGAGCCCAGCTTGGGTTCTGCCTCCCCCATGGAACCTTCTCTGGACATTTCACCAGAGACCCCCACCCCTCTTCCTGGAGTTCTCATGACTTGACGTGCTCTGCTTTGGGTTGCAGTTGGTCAGTGGGTGTTCTTACCCCACCTGCTATGTTGTCAGTAACCTAGTATCTCATGATGCGCTGTGATAGGTCTGCGTGCAGGAGACAAAAGGAAGGAAAAAGGGAAGGGATGGAATGGGGGGGTGAGGTCAGATGATGACCTTAAACAAGGTGGAAGGGCTTCAGCTCGATCCTCTGTGCACTGGGACCCTTGTGTGTTCCTGGTAAGAGAAGTGCCTGGAGGTCGGGAGGGGAGCTCCTTGCCACCTCCAGGGTAGCCCCCCGTCACCCGAGTCACTTCCCTGCCCCTCCCCCCTCCTCCCCAACCTCTGCCTTGGCACCCCCATCCCTCGTGGCTGAGACACCAGGGCTAAGATGAGAATGACAGCTGCCCAGTTTTGCTGCAGGAAAACCCGTATTTAATGCTGAAGGGGAACCACCAGGAGATGGAAGGCAATGACCGCTATGAGGGCTTCTGTGTGGACATGCTCAAGGAGCTGGCAGAGATCCTCCGGTTCAACTACAAGATCCGCCTGGTCGGGGATGGCGTGTACGGTGTTCCTGAGGCCAACGGCACTTGGACGGGAATGGTCGGGGAGCTGATCGCGAGGGTAAGCAAAGGGCAGATGATCTGGACTTGGAGGTGGGCTGGGGAGGGAGAGGGAAGGGCCTAGGGTTGTGGCGTATGCTCACGAAGCAGCCACGTATTCAGGCAATCATGCATTTTTCATGTAGTTGTCTGTTCATTGTGCACATCATTTCTGAGTCGGCTCCGAGCCAGGCATTGGTGGTACGCATCGGTGAAGAAGACCACCGTGATCCCTGCCCTGTGGCTCTCCCAGCCCAGCACCTGTCCCAGGTGCAATGGAGGTGTTGACCAGTCAACATGGATTTGAGGGTTTGGGGTCCATTTCTGGAGGAGCCTGGTGCTTTTGTGTGTTCTGATTATTTCACTGCTCGGTAGCGCCCCCTGGCAGAGCTTGGACAGGCCTGAGAGGGTAGAACGCACCACATCCCTTGACTTTGACACTGGAGAGGTGCCGTCAGGGGAGATACGGTAAAATAATAGGGGGAAAGGGCTGGACTGTCAGAGCAGTTGGTCATGGTTACGGTTCTCTTGTTGCTCTTTGTCTTCTTGCCTGCTCTTGTTAATGTGCTCTCACAGACCCACAGCCAAGGTGCACTTGGACAGGCTGTAGGTTTCCAGGGTGAATGTAGGGACTTGGTTAAAATGCAGGTGAGCATCACAGAAGGTCAGTCATCTGTTGGGTTAGAGCAAGGATAGAGAAAGTTCTTCCAGGGGGAGATCTCTTGTTTTCTTGGTACACACTATTAACACCTGTAAAAATTAATTAAATCATTCCTGATTCACTGTCCATGTTTCTATAACCGAGTTTTTGTGGTCAGGTCCTGCTGGCAGACACTCCCTGCCGAGAGCTCCAACCTGGCTCCTTAGCGTGACCTTGAGCCAAGCCCTCTCCCCCTCTGTGTTTTCCAAGTGCAGAAGGAGCCCCTGCAGGGCTCCTCCAGCTTCCCTCTGAATGCCAACATGCAGGGTGCTTTACGTACATTATCTCTAATCCTCTTTAAACATACCTTTTAGCGAGTTGTTACCCTCATTTTACAAACGAGCCATCACGAGCCATCTGAAGCTCAGAGGGCTTGAATGGCTTGTCTGAAGCCGCAGGTTTATATGAGATGGGGCTGGGATTTGAATCCAGATCTGTCTAACACCAGGGCCCACGTTCTTTCGCACGGCCGCCCACCACCGCAGCTGGACTGTGATGTCACCAAGAAAGGTATCCTTCAGTCCAGGACCTTCCTTGCCCCCTTCCTTTTGATGCTCCCTCCCTCCACAGCTCCCTCCCCTTCAGCCTGGCTTTCTTCTTTTCTTTCCTTCCTTCTTTTTTATTTCTTTTCCCCCTGCCCTTGATCTCTAGAATTAATATGATTTTAACCCTTCCTACATGCCACACGTGGGACATGAGATAAATTTTTGTCGTCCTAGTCTTGAAGGATAAAAACGTTAGTCAGGCTGTTAAAAAAAGCAGTCCTTGGCAGTGCATCGTGAAATGTTCTATCTGGACAGGAGCATGGGAAGATATTTAAGAGCTGAGGAGGAGGGGTGCTTAGAAAGTGTTGCCTGGCAGGATAGACAGCATTTGCAATGACCTGGTGGGGTACACGGCGAGACTCATGCAGAGAACTGTGGATGCTCCAGGGCGAGCTGATTCCGAAGTGAGGCCTTGCTCACAGGGAGAGGCTCGCCCAGAGAGGACTGATCAATCAACAGAAGGCCCAGAAGGAGCTCTGGGAGCATCTCACAAGGGCAGGGGGTGAGAGTGATTTCTTCCAAGAGCTGTCTGCTCTCTTTGAGACTCGAGCCCACCCTGCTGATGATGCCCTTGCTGCAGCACAAAAGGAAGTGTCGCTCCTCTGTTCAGTCCCAGAGCCCCTCCTAGAACAGTTTTCTGGTTTGCATCTCACGGTGGAGCCCACTGGTTAAACCCCAGAAAGCTAAGCTGCTGAGCCTTTTCCTTCTCCTCTTCCCAACAGATGTGGTCACCTTGAGCCCGTTTCTTCAGCCCCCTTGGGCTGCCTGGTGACTGATAGGGTGACTTCAGGGATGCCACAGTTGGTGTAGAGCCAATCCCCTTATCAGCCCCTTGAGGAGCTGTGACATGGGCTGGCAGGGAGAGGGGAGGAGTCTGGGGCTCAAGGACACGCAGTTCCATACCGAATGACTTAGGCCATCAGCCAGGGATCTTGAAATTCATCCCAGGTCGTCTTTCAAGCCAAAACACTGCTGCTTTGGTCTCATCAAGACTTGGCTAGATAATATTAATTAATTAGTTAACTAAACCATTAATTCCATAACTATTTATTATACACCTTCTGCTATTCCAGATGCTGGAGATACAGTGGGGCCAAAGCGGACAAGATACTCCCCCATGAATCTTACCAGTGAGAGACAGATGTTGATGAAGGATCATATTACTATATAATTTCCACCATAAGTGCAAGGGAGGCACATTCGAAGGAGCTATGAGAACGCATCTGAGGGCAGTGGGATCCAGTCTTGAGAAGCAAGGGGGCAGGGGTGGGAAGGCTTCCCTTGGGAAGTGATGTCGGGGCTGGTGTCGGAAGAATAGGAAGAGCATTCCAGCCCGGAGTCTGTCTGAACGCCACTGGGGTTGGTCCTGGGCAAGAGTGGGCGCTGCTGGGACCCCACCTTCCCTTGGTGCGGCGCCTTGATATGTCTGCCAAGATGTTCCCCTCGGTTTAAAGTTAGTCCCAAAGCCTCGATCTGTTCGGCATGACCTCCTCCCCAAGTCACACGGGGACATTTTAGAGGCTGCAACAGCAGACCCTGGAATGTCCCACCTGGAAGAAACTCCCGAGCCCACCACCCCTAAATCTGTCGCTTCTACAGATGAGAAAGCCAAGGCTCGGAGAGGCTAAAAGATCACATAGCCGGTAAGTGGAGAGTCAGCCCTGAAGCCCGGGTCTCTCTGACTTTAGCGCTCATGGTCTCAGGGGACACAGATCCTGATGCTAGACAGACCTGAGCTTCAGTTTCAGTTCATCCCCTTCCGGATGTGCTGAGTCTCATTCCCCCTTGGCTGAGGTTCACTCCATGGAGTGTCACCTCCCCTATGCTTCTGGGTTGTGCCCCAGAGCCCTGGGGCCTCCTTCAGAGAAGTCCGATCCTGAGGTAGCAGTGACACACCCCTAGAGCAAGCCACAGTGGATGGGCGTGAGACACTGACCCACCTCCCTGCCCGCGGCCTTGCCTGCGGCTGGACGAGCCGGTGCAGCCTGGTTCCCGGGAGGCCCTGCGCACTCCTGCATCCCAGCAGCCCCAGGAAGCCTCAGGGCGGGAGGCTGGAGGCATGGGAATAAGGGGTGAGTTGAGGCTACACAAAGGGTCAGGAGGAGCAGAAGGTGGGCCGGGCCAGCCGGGAGAGTGGAATGCCAGGGTGGCAGGGCCCCAGCCACCAAGGCAGTGATAGAAGGTGCCACGGATTGTCAGGCCACCTGCCTGGGGCCACGGGTTAACACTGAGCACAAGTCCTCGTGGCTGGGGGAACCCGGAGGCGAGCATTAGCTGGTTTGGACCAAGAGTGATTTTTTTTTTTTTTTTAAGTAAGCTCTAGGCCCAACACAGGGCTTGAACTCACGACCCGGAGATCAAGAGTCACCCGCTCTACCAGCTGAGCCAGCCAGGCACCCTCAGGAGTGATTATTATTAGGCTCATTCAGGTACAGCAGCTTGTGTCCCAGTAACCCCCTTCTTGTTCAAGGAGATTGGCTTCCCCCATACAGAAAATGAAACTCAGCCAGTCCTCTGTTGACTGCTAAGAGTGAAAATGATTGTTCACAGCACCACACCAGGGTAAGCGTGAGATTTCTTCGTGGGGGTGTAGCGGTCCTGCACCAGTGTCTCCGTGCCAGGGCTCAGGGCTCGTCCTGCAGACCTGTGCAGCTCTGGGGGAAGAGAGTGTGCAAAGGGGGAGGCACCCAGTGGGTGTGTGTACAGGGCTGCCCACCAGCTCTCCCTGGACAACCGGCAAGGCGAGTGCAACCAGAATTACCCCAGGAGAGAAGAAGGCTAGACAAAAAGGGGGACCACACCCCACACACGGGACACTGGTACCTGGCTAAGGAATCTCTTCCTTTAGAGAGTTTGAAGAACACAGCAGCTTCCCGCATGTGTGAGTGATATGGAGAGAAGTACAGAGGTGTGCACCATCTCCAGTGGGTGTTCTAGAGCCTCCAAGTTCATGTCCATTATCACCTGCTTACCCAAGGCCCTTGGACCCAGACACATGGCGTATTAGTTGCAGAAGTGCATTTGAGCATGTTTACTGCATCTGTTTAGAAATCATCAGAATCTGTCTCTTGGCACAAATCCCATGACAAGTGGGAGTGTGGTTGGAGTGACAAGTGAATTCACATCAACTGGACCATGTGGATGGCCTCTCACCCCGGTGCTGTGTTTGAGCAGTGGAGATGAGGAGGATGACTATTTGGGGAGGCTGTCGGGTTTGGATTCGTTTTGCCCAAGTCAGAGCCTTCCCCACCGAGCCCGCAACATGCCTGCCCACAGTGATGGCGTGTGTCAGTGGAGGTGTACTTGGCAGAGAGGAGGGGAGGGACTAGAACAGTGTGAAGCAGGAGGTACCCCAGGAACAGTCTCAGGGGGCTTCCTGTATCACTCCAATAAGTTTATTTAGAGTTTTCATTGAAATGGTTCGAGGCATTCAGATCCAAAGATGAATGAGATAGGTCCCAGACCACTCTTTGATGGGGACAGTTGGCTGAAATCTCGATGAGAAAGACAGTGATGGGGAAAAGCAGGGTATGGGGAGAGGGCTGGAGGACAGGCTCCTAATTCTGCTGGTGATGTCTAGGAGAGATTCCTGCAGGAGGTGGTGCTTGACCAGAATCTTTAGAGATGAAGAGAGGTTGGCCAGACATGAAGGGACGTAGAGAGAGAAGAGCATGTAGGAGGAAGGAGCATGAGATCCTAGGCTGAAGGTGCATGGATAGTTCCCGTCTTAGGTTAGAATACCCAAAACAGGTCATGGTGGGAAATGAGGCTAGGAAC